TTGCTATGTTCACCACCCCTATTGACCTTCAGTTACAAACAAAATGGGCAATCCTCCGAATACATTTTTTACTAACTTACAATTACTTTTTCATCAATTTAATATTTCCCATTTCAAGTATATTTTGACGGTATGAGAATTAAATTTCGAGCCGCCTGTTTAGAGTATTGTTTTTTAAAAGCTTGTCGGTACTGCAGACCAGATATTTCTGTTTGCGATAAAAAATTAGAAGATATGTCCGATCATATGTTTCGTTTAGTGTACAATATTATTTTTTTTTAGAACTTTGTTTTACATAAAGGACATCCAAGCACAAGCAAAGGCAATCCTGCTAGAGCATATTGAAATGAAAGAGTACGTGCAGGCGATAAAGATTTTAAGAAAAAAGATCAGAAGTCTGACCTATTGGAAACAAACCAAGAAATCGTTGTCATGGAAAATAATGAAGGAGAGATCGCACAATTTTTCATCGGAAGAAATTGCAAAAAAGATTTTTTGTGGAGTAAACAACCAACAGCTGCAACCAGAAGAGTGCCAAGTCATAATATAATTAGACAGATGCCTAGACTGACACGAAAGGCTAACAATTTGGGCAATCCAACTTTACTCGAAATTTGGAAGTGTCTGTTCGACCAACAAATGATTGCTAAAATAGTTTTACATACAAATGAAAAGTTATCATCTGTAAGAAATAAACCGACACAATGGAAATCCATTTTCTTATCGGCTTACTTATGTACACCTCTATTTTCAAATCTGGTCATGAAAATATGATTTCACTTTTCTCGAAAGATCTAACTGGAAGATCTATATTTAGAACAACAATGTCTGTTAAACGATTTGAAATACTTAACACCTATCTACGGTTAAACGATGCCACAACACACGGAGAAAGAAACAAAACGGATCGCTGCAATTTTGGAATTATTTGATTTGTTTATACAAAATTCACAGGAAATATACTGCTCTAGTGAGAATATGACTGTAGATGAAATGCTTGTTCCTTTTAGAAAAAAGTATAGCTTTCGCATGTAAATGCCAAAGAAACTTGCCAAATACGGCATAAAAATTTAGTTTATGGTAAATTCAGCTACTTCCTACTTATATAATGCGTACATTTATTTACACAGGAAAAGATAGTGATGGAATAGGGCTATCTGGTGAAGAATGCAAACTAATGAAACGAACACAATCAACTTTGCACTTATACAAGCCAATCGAAGGATCTAATCGCAATATCACGGCAAACAACTGGTTCTTTTCTTTAGAATTGGTTGAAGAACTTAGAAAAAGAAAATTAACTTTTGTAGGTACCATCAAAAAGAATAAAGCTGTAATTCAAATTTGATAAGAAAAGACTTGTCGGCTCAGCTTTGTACGGATTTACAAATGACCAGCTTACTACACTGTTTTCCATCGTGCCTTAGATAAACAGAACAGTTGTACTGATATACTCCTTGCACCACAACATTGAAACTGTTCCCGATAAAAATTAACCAGAAATTGTGTGCTATTACAACAAAACAAAAACTGGTATTGATCTACTTGACATGAAGAGTGCCTTATACTCGTACAAGAGGAGAACCAGAAGGTGGCCACTAGTAGTTTTCTATAGCGTTGTCAATGTCAGTTGTATAAATTGTTTCGGGAAAATCTTATATGATGAAAAAGTTTAAAATCATATAAAAACTGACAGATTCACTACTGGAACCCAATCTTTGTAGGCGTCGCAATATTTCTACTCTTTCGCGATATATTAGGGCACTAATAAATCGACACTTATCCATTGACAATGGAAATTAGGCTGTCAGAGACCAAATTTCGAGTAACAAGCTTGAGAAACGTAAAACGTGTTCGAAGTGCTAATCTTCAAAATGCAGAAAAACTGCATACAAATGCATTAAAAGTGGCGATCCAATCTGTGTAGAGTGTAACAGGAAATTGTGTATCACTTGTTCTGTTGTTAGAGATTAAAACTTGTGTAATATTTTCTTCTGTGTTTTCACTATACTTTGTATTTAAATAACAAATACATGTTTAAAATACCTGGAATATTTGTTTTTTTTTTAAATAATAACTTTATTTTAAAATGTACACAACCGATCTAAATAAGGTCATTTTTAATGAAAGGTCTCTGAGACCGTATGTTTCATATTATGCAATATAAAGCCATGTTTAAATTTAATTGTCAAACCCCCGTTGGACCATTTTTGCAATGTTGTGGTACCAAGTTCATGGCCCTGTGAAATTGTCATCTGATACTTTTTTAATTTTAATGTTTTTCAAAGAAAGGCATGCAAATTGGAAAAACTAAAAAGTAGGGAAACATGCGGGTAAACGAATGATTATCATCAAATTTAATTTTTGTGAATATTTTTCTTTTGTTTTTTAAATATTTTAATTATTTTTTTTTAATCCAATTGATGGGCAAACGTGGGCAAACCATGGGATAATTTGGAACACATTTTTGTACCATTTTTGCAATGTTGTGGTGCCAAGTTCACGGACCCCGATTTAAATCAAATTAAGTATATCATCACGTAAGGTGCTAAAAGTTAATCTATCGAAAATTCAATTTTTTTTTATTGTTATATCTGTCATTTTGTATTTCCCATTTTATGTCATCAGCTGATCAAATACAATCAGTAAATGTAATTATAGGATCGAATCATAAGGAAAAAATCAGTTTTTGCTCTACTAAAAATGCAGTTTTTAGACATATTATGCCCTTTTAATATAGTGTGCGCTCTACCTACCCTTTGCGATCTACCTAATATTATCTTTGGTTTATTATTCGATCTACCTGTTTGTTATAATCGAATTAAATTACGGGTTTTGAGCTTACATTAAATTGTAATTAGATAAAACAAAATGGATTCTACGTATTTTGAGGTGATCTTTTCGAAAAAAGGCAAAACAAAATTTTGGATTTTGTCAATTTTTCAATTTTGCGCAGGCGCATGTCGGAAATAAATCAATATTTTTAAAACGCAGTTTACGACATTTGAGCGCTTAGGAAAAATGCTAATTTTTATGTCTCTTGAGAAATTTTGATCCGATGCACCGTTCTCGCGGTATGGACGATTGAAATTTGTTTAGTATTTTGAGGCGACGAAGGTCGAAAAATTGAATTTGTTAACTGTTCAAACCCTAAATTCTTTATAACATTGTTAAAAATTAAGTTATTTGAAAAAACAAAAATGCGTTTTGAACTTAAGGGATGTGACTAGTGATCCCCAGAAGGGGGCAAGAGAAATCCCAAAATTGGGCATATGGCGGAAGGGCAAAATGCACCGCGGTCCTAATTTCATTGTTTGCCTATAACGGCCAAACTATTTAAATTTTTTAATGCCACTTACAAACCTTACACTTAAATGTGAAATATTATGTGTGTGTGAATTTCACCGACATCGGACCATAATTGGCTAAGATATCAAACAATTAAATAATTAAAAAAAAAAAAAATTTTGTTTGAAGTGGCACAAAAATGCCAAAAATGCACCCAATGGCTCAAAACTTTTTTTTTGAGTACTCTATTGTGTCTAGAATACGATTACATTACGGAAAATTCTGCAAATATATTTTATCTAATTTTTTGACTACTGTTCATTGAGTGACGACCAAAAAACACGGTTTTTGAGAAAAGTTGCCTAAAATTGACAATTTTTAGTTTTTTTGTCTGAAAATTAAACAAACCCAAATTTCATGTCTTCTAAATGTGTATACAAAGTTTAAAGTGTGTATGTTTCTTCTAAGTTGTAGAATTCTCCCGACAAAAGTCCCATTACACGCGCTCCGCGGGATCCAAAACTCGTGTATACACTACATTACTGTAATTTGATTTTTTTGCGTTTTCCAGTTTTAAATTTCTTACATATCTAAACTTATTAGGCTTAAAATTTATTAAATTGTATTTTACTGACTTGTTATAAGACGTTTCTTGAGTTTTGTGCAAAATATAGAATATTAGCGAACAAAAAGCAAGCTTATCACCAAGTTGGAACTTACACTCAGGCTTAGGATTAATTTCCTAACATTTTTAAAGTATACCTATTTGTGTATTTTTTTGTGCTCTTTTCAATGGCGTTAGTTTTTTTAAATATATTTTTTATGTTAGATGTTTTCGGAAAACCCGGAAAAAATCATATGGGAAAAAAATTAAAAAAAAAACTACGCCTCTGGTTTCCTGCGAATTCCCGAAAAATTATGTCAGATTTCGCCGCGGGACTTATTTTATTTGAGAGCCAACACAAAAATACGCAACTTCTCTCGTGGGCTTATATGTCTAACATTTATAATGTCGCCACAAATTCATCGCAAATTTCATGTCCATGGTTCTGATCAAAAAAACGAAAAAACGACTTTTTGGTAAAAGCACTTCTGGCGGCGAGAAATTCGCCATTAAAACTACCTGTGCAATGAATTTCCGAACTATTTTTGCCTCCTCTTTCGAATGGTGCATTTATTTTCACGATCGGAATAATACTTGCCCAGATAATTAGCATTTGGAAAACCCGGTTTTTCCTAATTAAAAAAAAATTGAAAAACTTTTTTTCGGAAAGATCACATCAAAATACACAAGGTCCTTTTTGTTTCATCCAATTACAAATTAATGTAAGCTCGAAGAGGCTTTTTTTCGTTATTTAATTGGACTATTAATAAATGTAATAGATTTTTAAATGATCACCAGTATTATTAATTTCTTTTTAATTAATTCCTATAATAATAAAATATCCCTTTTCAACAAATCGAAATTACTTATAGAAATATAATAGAAATTATCTCAGGTTTATTATGCGGTCTACCAGTATTGTTAAATATAATAGAAAAACAATCGTTTCTTTTCTATAAAAGAAGGATCAATTTCCTAAACTGTTAAATGTCGAAATGTTTGTTATCACGTAAACACCAGAAAGATGTTGCTTCGCGATTTTTATGTCAAAATGCAGCCTCCGAAGAAACTGCTCTTGCATTTCTTAGGCAACATCAACTACTAGATAATGCAAACGAGTTGGGTCCTTGCACAAAATGTGGAAGCGAAATGCAAGAAAAAAGAAAAAGGGACCGTGGAGGCGAATTTAGACCAGTTTTCCGGTGCCCGAGAAAAAGCTGCCACACATCGAGGTCAGTTCGCACTGGCGACCGATTTTTTTAATTACACTGTTCTCAATGGAAGAACAAAAAATTAACCATAGTGCAAATATTTGAACTTGTTTTTATGTTTATATTAAATCTTTCTGTAGATTCTGTCATCTTGCTCACCGGACATTCCAAGCCTACGGTGATTGACTGGTTCAATATGTGCCGTGAAGTATGTAGAGCAATGGCATCTCAAACAGTTCGTGGCCAAATCGTAGGAGCCCAGGATGTTCCCGTCCAGATCGACGAGGCGCGTTTTGCTGGCCTTAGAAAATATAACCGATGTAGAATGTTGCAATCACCTGTCTGAATCCAAAGATTCGGATGACGACATACACAATAATAGGAATCACGGACTCGGCATTGATGGGCCATGGGTTTTCGGCCTGCGAACTAGATCAGATTCCAGATATTTTTATGTACTTAGACGAGATTCATAGCGTTTTTGATTCCAGTGCTCAGTTTGCTCTGAGAGCATACGAAAGGTAAAAAGTAACCGGTATCGATATATCGCTCATCTTTTATGTGCACTCCCCGCAGGCAGGGCAGCGGAATCGAAAATGCTATCAGACACACTCATACCGATCATCCAGAGAGAAGTCCAATCCAGTTCGCATATTCACTCCAATGAATGGCGGGCCTATAGCAGAAGTCAACTTGGGTATGTATATGAAACTGTAAACCACCAACTATGTCGCTCCCGATACAGGAGCACATACTCAAGGTATCGAACAATCTTGGTTGGAATCTAAAATTAAAATAATGTAGAAGATAAGAGGCGTGTCAATAAACCACTTAGATTACATCACTTAGAAAGTCAATAATAATAATAACTATCAAGCAAACGACCTTTTCGTCACATTTTTACAAAATATGCGAACTGTATATCGTACTTAACTTGTAAATATAATATAACCAATAAATAATTTTTGAACATTTATTTAGTATTTTATTTTTCGTGCTAAACCAAATAAGCTTGGGTATACCGCATACTTAACCAGATAACCTTACGTAGACCGCATACTAAACCGGCACCAATTTTTCTTTATTTCTACACGTTTAAATAGACCATTTACTTCATGTATGCGAACTCTATGACATTTTGTCTTTTAAGTATCCATACCACTGTAGTTTTTTGTATCAAAAGTATTTCCTTTCATTCCTTGATATATTTAACATACGGTACAAATAACGCTAAGCTCTTTATCGCAATCCCTTTCCATCGAGCGCGATTATTATTTTTCAACGTATACTGCACTGTATAACCGAGTACGCACATACCTAAACACATTATATATTTCTCGAAGCAATCGAAATCCCTATTCACGTGCATTCCCGACAAAAACGAAGATAGTTAAGAGCAGTAAATCATAGCCGCAATTATCAAGGTGGCCTGCAGCTTCTTGAGTTATAAATTGTGTACTTCCTTCTTGTATTATAAGCGCGCCGAGTACCGAGCACCTATTACTATTCGAAGAACCCATTCGCTGGCACCTGGAAGCCAATCTTGCACTTAGCTCGCAGAATGTATTGAGAAATTATAGAAATTTCGCTAACTAACAAAACGAAACGGCTTTGTGATGATGCCTTCCCATTGTATCGTAATTAGTTGTCCCAAAGATATACACAGCTGTGTAGAGTATAGATAGACGACATGTAATGATGCGTGCAGAGTTTTTAAAACGTTTTACAAATAGAATTATGAGTTACGGAGTTGCTGGAGGCTAAAAACTGGGAGAAAACAGCGACAGAAACAGTTTTGATAGTTCTGGAAGTGATATTAAAATATGAGTTGCCCTTGTATAACTTTATTAATTGTATTACCCCTATATGTTATTTATCTTTGTCATTAGTTGTCATCATTTATGTATAGTTTTTGCTGAATAATTTGTTATAAACTTATGTGGACCAAGAACTAATTATTGTTATAAACAAAGATAAATAACATATATAGGGGTAATACAGTTAATAAAGTTATACAAGGGAAACCCATATTTTCATATCATTCTCCCCCTCTTCAGAATCTTTCATATTCTTCGATGTATTTAGGAGGTTTTTTGTTTCTAGCTGGGCGACTTTTTTCAGATGGTAAAATACTCCTAGAGATAGATAAATTTGGTTTTCTAAAGAAGTAAGGACCATTTCATTCAATTCAATAAAGTTTCCGGAAGTAGCTGATGGAGAATTCAAATTTTCAGTGGATGTAGGCACTAAAGTTGGAATCAAGGAAATATTAGTAAAAGAAGGGAACAAACAACTATTATCTTCAATTTCTTCAAGTGAACTATTTTCAATAATATTCCTTCTTGGTGCGTTATTTCTTTTCCATCGGACATTCTTACATACGAAAAATCAGGATTACTTTTCAATAGTTTGATTTCTTCCACAATTGGTTCATAGTTAAATTTACGAACCTATTTCTTTAATAGTATAGGACCAGTATCAGCTAACCATGAGGAAAGAGATTGCCCATTAACTGAACATCTACAGTAGTTGAACATTCTTTCATGTGGAGTGGCATTTATTCGGTGCATAACAAAGACCTAATTGAATGGAGAGCTTCATTTAACACACATTCCCACTGAGAAATTTTTAAATTTTTGGATATCGTCTTCTATATTGTACCATTTTCCCTTTCAATTTGGCCGTTGCCTTTGAGATTATATGGGGTAGAGCGACTCGAGGAAATCCCTCTTGAAGTAAGAAAATCTTAAAATTGTTTAGAAGAAAAACAGTATTTATCCATTATAGATTGTAGATACTTGTTAAAGGATGAAGAAGGCAAAGGTCCCTTAAAATCTTACGAGGGTCTTTCAAAAGCAGTGAATGATTTGATTAGGGTATAAATTTTGTATATTAATTATTATTTTATATAAATATAAATGATTTTAGGTAGTTTGAAAAACAATCACAAATCGAAGATAATCTGAAGATTTAAAGGCTTAAAGAGCTTCTTTTTGGTACCCATGTAAAGCAATGAATTAATTGCTGTAACAACACAGTGACACGTTTATTTCTAAAAATAAATAGTCAATAAATAATATTAATAAAATTAGATCAATTGGTACAATAAATTTTATAAAATCAAAGCAAATAGTATATGAATGTCACCAATCGGGTAAATAGATAAATGCATAAAAAAAACAAAATGATTAGGTTTAAATAAGGTTAGTATTTAAATATTCTTAGCAACAGGTTGCATAAGTAGATCAATTTAGGTGAATTATACCTACTTTTTATACAAAATACAAAAATGTTTATACATTATTCTTCTTTAGATATATAAATAATATAATCTATAGATAAAACCAAATTATATCATAATATAACAACTCTTGACGACTGCGATTACAAAAATGTCATTTTATGTGTCAAAATAGACAAAGTATTAGGCATTCGAAACAAAATGGCTACTAGTGGATTTTGACAGGTTATGATATGGCAACCCGTGGGTCTGGTGATTTGACAGGGTCAATTAAATAGATAATCATATCGATGATCATCCATGTTTTTTAAAATAAACTTAAGCTTATGCCTTGAAGTAAAAATGTTGGTAATTATTTTTTTACTCTATGTAAATGCTAAAAATGTCTTTGTAAACACATTTTTGCTAAACCGATTCTGATTAATGAGCACTTAACTCTGTAAATGACAACAAGTCAGTTCCCACTTGTCAGCATTTTGACAGGTCGTTAGTGCCTAATTTTTTTATGGTTTAACCCAATATTCAAGAAGAAAACACATGCATTAAAATATTTAAACAATCAGAAAACTACTCTAGTCAATGGCTTACATTGAACCATATAATTATCCAATGTAGTCCGTTAACATTCTAAAAAAATGATCACGTAAATTTTTGATTTAAATTGACTGTCGATAGTTGACAGAGGGATCAGACTGGAGTAGAAGACTCGAGTAATGACTGCTTTCCAAAACTCTTCAGTATTCACGGAGTTTTCGGGACCCTAGGCCCCGAAACGCCTTAGTGTGTAAAGCTTTGTACAGTGATTTGTGTACATACAATGATACAATTAATTTATTGATTTCCATTTAAAGAGGTCCTTTCGCCACACCTCTCGCCTCAAATGTTAAAAAAAAGTTATTAGATTATGACTAAAATTAATTTTTTTCTAATAGTTGAAGTCCTTATTTATCTAATACTGAACTTTTAACTATACCTTACCTTGCAAATTTTTAAGATTTTTTTTTTTAATGTGAGTATTTGTACAGTGCCTCACGAGAAAGTAAGTCCTCAACAAAAATTCTCGAATTATACTATTATTTATTGATTAGATGGAGTAGAAAAAAACTAAAAATAAGGTTTTTGAAATATTTAGGTTTTGTTTTTTACAATAAAATATATATATATATATATATATATATATATATATATATATATATATATATATATATATATACAGGTAAAACGACGAAGTAACACCAAAAACTATTTAATCGTTCTCGCACCCGGAATTTTTCGCACTTAATTTGACTAAAAGGCTCCTTATATATGGTTTATACATATATACATTCTAGCACCCTATATATGTATATATAATTAGTACATATATACCTTCTAGCTCCATATATATCATATTAAATAAAAGTTGACGAAAAACAAATTTGTTAGCTTGAGAATGAGTAGAACTTGATGGTGTGACGTTTGCTCTTAACACGTTGGCTTCCAAGCCAAATTTCAGGATTTTGGTATGTGATAAGTTTGGTTTGGGTGACTTCTATACCGTGTGTCACCGTTGATATTGAGCATTTTTTTTGCAATCAATTTTAAAAATGTATAGTTTCAATTTAAAGAAATTTAAACTAAAGAACCGATACTGGAATAGTGGAAATTGCCAATGATATACATAAGTATGTGTAATGTATTAAATAAACTGTATTATTATATATGGACATCACCCTATACAATTAATTTCTATTCTGGTATCTTGTACTGTTTTTTACTGTATGGCGATAACGTCGGCTTCAATGTGGAATCACGGAATAAAGGCACTTTCAATTCAGCATTTAATTGAGTTTTATTATAATTAAGAAGTACGGGAAAAATAATAAAATAATTGTAGTTCTTAAGGAAACTAGGGATATTACACTGGCGCAGTCAGTAATAAGAAGTTTAAATTAAATTAAATTAACCAAGTGGGGTGATAAATTAAATAACAATTTAATTAAAAGTGGTAAAAAAAAATGTCAGTGGGCAAATTGGAACCCTTTAAATTAGGCGAAGGTAATTGGACTTCGTATGCGACACGCATAGAACAATACTTCAAAGTTAATAAAATTGAAGAAAATATG